TATACTTTGGGGAAAAAAATCCAACCTCCTTTTTTATGCTTTTTGGAGTATATTTAAATGATATGTTGTTGGAATTTAACCACTTTCACAAAGTATACTGCATGGTCAGAAAAGAGCTGCAAGACTGGTAGAATCACTGTTGTTCTCTTTTGTGGTGAAAAAATAAAATTAAAACTCTTAAAATGGAGTTATTCCATAGGCCTGATTGCTTTCTAGGATAGCATAACATTGGATTCGATCTAATTTAGTTAAGTAAATATTAATAAATGTTAAACACTTACTATAAGCAAGGTACTACAGTGGATCGAGGAAAACTTGACATCAGAAGAAAGGAAATCAATAAAATTATGATTTGTGGCTTTTTAAAAACACCAGTCCTCAGTCCAGTAAACATTAATAAACACAGTATTTTACAACGTTTGTCAGAAATCACCTTTCTACATACCTACCTTTGCATCTCTCCCTTCTGCTGCTGGAGACGTTGCTTTCCCATCGAATCTTCACATTTCTCAGTATTGCAAGAGCTCAGGACTGGAAGAGTCGTTCACATTGTTCACTTTTACTCTTTGCAAGGCAGTGACCAAAAGATCATTATCAGCTATCATCTGTCTTCCTACCTCACGGAGATGAGATAAATAGTCAACTGTTCCCTGTTTTAAACCTAATTCAAAACCGTAGAATCATTCTTTTTTTATTTTTTAGGAGTTCCAGTGCATTTAATAATGTTGACGGAGAAGAGGTGACATTCTGACTGGTAACGCTTAAACTACGACAATGGAGAGAAGCAGAATTGGAGTGGCACCCAAGCAAACAGGTGGACTTTAGTTAATTGCTCACGTATGATTTCAGAGGCTGTGAAGGCCTTCTTATCTCTAAGAATTACCACTGCTCTGCAGTGTCTAAAAACTTCATATCCTTCCAGTTGAGGGCTCTCTCTGTTAAAATGCAGACTAAACACCCTGTAGGAGTGACACTTTCACTGTCATCAGTCACCCAGACTTTTGTGGAAGTGTGTTTTAGATTTCTTGTTGGGAGTACATTTTGACAGAGAACAGAAGGATGCTGCACACCACGGGATCAGGTAGAGAAGAAAGAAGTGTATGGTTTTCCAAGCCTTGGGCACCATGTCTGTGTTTCAGTTTGGCTGGTGACTGGTATAACAGAGAAAATAAAACTTGGTTTACTAAGAAATTGATTTATAAATGCTTTTTCTATAGCTTTTTAAAAAATTAGAGTTCCAGATTATAGAAAAGTTATAGTAGTCCAAGAAACTCCCATGTGCTTTCTGTGTCCCCTTGGCAAAGGCTCGCCCTTGCTGTCATTGTTTCTCTCCATCTGCTCGTTCGTTGCGCCTGCAGTTTGCTTAGATCCGAGTTTCCGTCTGCTGTCACTTCTCCTTAGACCAAACAGCTTCCATTAGCATTTCTCATACAGCAGATCTGCTGCTGCTAAATCCTTTCAGTGATCATTTATCTGAAAGTATTTATCTAAACATATTTGTAATAGGTGCTTTGAAGTCCTTATCTGCTAACTCAACATCTGGGTCATTCTGAAGTCAGTTCGCATTGGCTGCTTCTTCTCTTGACCATGGACCACATTGTCCCATTTTTTTCTCCTGACCGTAGCTCTCATTTTCCTATTCTTCCCGTTCCTGTAGTTTCCGACTGTATGTTGGACATTGTGGACAATGTGGAGTCTCTAGATTCTATGTTCCCCTGGAAAGTGTTGATTTTTATTCTAGTAAGCAGTTAATTTGGCAGGAATCAAACTGTAATTCCTATAGTGGGCAACAGCTGAAAACTCTGCTCACTTCTTTTGGCCTTTTAGCTATTTGCTTTCTGCCAAGCTCCTTAGACTCTCCCCTGTAGATGTTCAGGGATCAGACAAGGACTTGGCAAAGTTTATATGCAGAATTTGGGGTTTCCCCTTCTGTAGTTCGCTTCTTTATGTGATTTCCCCCCCACTATCCAGTCTCTCCAGAAGCCCCGAGTTCTGTCCTCATATTCTTCAAGCCAATATGATTGTAGCTTTCTGCTTGCATGCTAGCTTGCTCCTAAACTGATGGACTGGGAAATGCCTTCAGGCAAGAATACCCACGTAAACACCAATCTCAACCAGTGCAGTCCCCTTCTTTCAAAGGTCATTGTCCTTCTAGTTTGTCTGCTTATGGTTACCTTCAAATAGTTGTTTTTAAAATATTCTCTTCTGAATTCACAGTCATTATCTGTAAGAGACTTAGTCTGATACAATTACTCTGCCATTAGTAGAAGCAGAAACTGCAAATGCTTTTTAAAGACACAAAAAATGAAACATCAATTCTATAAACTGTTTTAAGTAACTTAATTACATCAGTAAGTATTTATTGAGCATTTACTTTGGGCTGGTTACTGTGCTAATAGTAGGTACTAGAAATCCTTCCAGATATAAGAATTATATTGAGTTATAGTCAATTTCAATGGGCCTGGGTTTTTGTTTTGTTTTGTTTTTTTAGAGACAGGGTCTTGCTCTGTTGCCCAGGCTGGAGTACAGTGGTGCAATCACAGCTCGCTGCAGCCCAAACACCTGGGCTCAAGCAATCCCCCCACTACCCCCCAACCCACCTGCCTCAGCCTCCCAAAGTGCTGAGGTTACAGGTATGAGCCACTGGGCCCTGGGCCTGTTTTTTTTAAACCTCAAAATAAAACCGTTATTTACAGATACTGCAACCCCTTCTCCCCAAGCCCCCAAAAAGAGTAAAATATTTATTTGTTTTCTCATAAACACTTCACATTTATGTGGTTCATTTTCTCAAAGAATTCAGATTTCTTAGGCCAAAAGCATTTGCAGTTTAGTGACACCAATTTGGTTGCAGTTAAAAATCCCCAACTTTCTTTGGCTAGTTTGAAATTTGTCAAAGTGTATTTTCATTAAAAAAAAAAAATCCCAGCAATAAAGTCACTCTTTCATGACAGCGAGACCGCTGCTGTTTCCGTTCGGGAGAGAAGGCCCCTGGAGCTGGATCGGCGTGAACGAGGAGAGCACTGCAGGGCTCCTTTGGGACTGACTCGGGCCAGTGAGGGGTTTCCCCTTTGACTTCACCTTTCTGCCTAGAAGGTGGAATATTCCTAATCTTCATAAATAGTTTTAGTTTTTAACTGTTCTGAATAAGATAAAGGTAGGGAGTGCATTAGCACAGGACCCCATGCTAAACACCACTCCTTTATCTGGGGTGGAGGTCAAGGCGAGTCCATGCCTGCCACTGGGTTTGTGTGGTTCCCCAGCGCGGTCTGCAGCTAACTTCCTCATCCCACCTTCGATCTCCAGTCAAGACCGGTTTCACTCATACAGGCTCATAGGAGGATGAAAAGGGTCAGAAAAAGGAGGGGTGGGCCAGTTCTCTTGCTTTATAGTTTTGCCTAGTGTTGGCTCTGGCTTACCAGAGTGTGAAATAATTAAATTAAGACTCAGGGCCAGCCCCCGTTCTGCGGCCCTCACTGTTTGGGACACAGGCTGGAGGTAAGCCAAGTGCCCTGTATTGCCATTTTTGTTGTCTGGCATCTCTTTTCATTCTAATTCTGCTTTAGAACAGAAAAGGCCAGGTGTGCTGGCTCACCCCTGTGGTCCTAGCTTCTCAGGATCACTCAGGAGTTCAAGACCACAGTGAGCTATGATCGCACCATTGTCCTCCAGCCTGGGCATCTTAAAGAAAATAGAAGCCTATCGAAGAGGATCACATACAGCTGGCACAGATCTGGCCAGAACAGTTTGCTGAGTGAATTACTTAGCTCTATACAATATTCTTTTGTCCCTTCTCCCTTAATTATATTTTCTAGGTTAAATTTATTCTTATCTTAATACCTGAAACTATTTTTATCACTGCTCTTTAATCTTATTTCTACTCACCACTTGAATATTTCTGACATTCCAACGATTTCACCAGAAACCCTGCCATTTCATTTTCTGATGAATCACAAATAACTCAACCTGCCACAGCGTGAGGTCAACAGCAAACATCTGTGCCCTTTGAGGCTCACGTCTCCCGAGCGCAGCTGGCTGGCATCAGCTGAGCATCCAGTTACTTAGCACTCAAGCTGTGCACCAGCGGGGGCCGATCAGTGCTCACTGCCCAGTATCTTAGGCTTTAAAAAGGGAGGAAGAAACGAGGCAAAGGGATAACACAAGTGTTAATTACCAGTTTACTAATCATTCTGTTTTGCTTCCGGGGAAAACAGTTCTGTTGACTCTTTGGTGGACGGGGAGCAGATGGGGACAGCCAGCCAGAGCCACTGCGAAGCGTGGCTGCAGGGCTTGCACCCTTCTCCGGGCTCAGCTGTGGACGCAGGGAAGAGACTTCAAAGCCGGCTTGCGCTGTTCCTGCCAGTGTGGTGTGTGCGATTCCCATTAGTTAGCTCTAAGGAAGAAAGGAAGAGGAATTCGTCCTCCCTCACTTGCCACGGTTTGATGCTTACCGAGCAACCTACCAGTTTGTAGTTACAACCGTCTGTATGTAGTGGACACGAAGAAAACAGTTTCATTGTGATTCATATTTATTTCTGTACGTTATTTTTACAAGTCATCTGAGATAGCCAGGTTTTGCAATCTGTCCAGATTGTGCCACAGGTCAGCGACAAGTAAACCACTCCTGCTTCTGATTAAATTCTCTGCTCATGGACATATTCGGTAGTTGTCCTGAGGCGAAGCAAAGTTTAAGAAGATTGTCCCTTGCTGCTCTGCTACCCCAGCTCACAACTGTGACAAGAACTGGTTACAATCCTTTAGTCAGTTTTTAATTCTACGTATAGGCAGTGCAATCAAACTCCTTTGTGAGTTAACAATTATCCCCTTTGGTCAACGATTTACCCTGTATGATATTTTTGAACGAATACATTTTTGGAATGATATAATTAAAATTTTAAAGTAAATGCAATTTCCCTGATTTTATTTTGTCTAAACCTTAATTTTCATTTAAAATTTATATTCTTTAATTTCACAATAAAGGGAAAAGGAAATAATACTTAAAATGATTAACTCTTATAATTAAGAATAGCTTTAATCCAAAAACTGATTCTTTGAGCTACATGGACAGTTAAACTTTCCTACCACTACCTCCAAGCTTTTATTTAAATAAATATGAAAAATTAGGTAAAAACATTTCATTGTGTACAGTACAAAATGGGATAAGATATAAGGCTCTTTAGGAAAGCTTATTATGCTAAAAAAGCAGAAGTTAGCAGACAGTAACATGCAACAGTGATAGTGATACGACCAAGAGCTGCCAACTCCAACACAGAGGTGTCTGTTCACCCCACAGCATGGCCCTGGCATGGCCTAAGGAAGAGCCATCTGGTGGAAGTGAAACTGGGAGATTAAAAACAAACAAACTCCTGGGAACATAATTAATGAGGAAAAAAATGCAGTTACAGAAAGCTTCTAAAATTAGCAGATGGGTATGCTCCATGATGTAGAAGAGACAATCTACAAGCAAAAACCATTAATTCAATTAAAGAGTCGTTAGCAACAGTAACAACACAAATTCACTGCACTGACATTACAGTTACAGGACACAATCTAGGAGGAAGTTATTCCAATGGCTGAATTTTTGTTTTTTAATTTTGCAAAAATTTTCTTATCAAAGAGGCATAAGCTCCAGGATTCTCATTTCCCAAGCTGTGTTTCTGTTTCTCATTGATTATATCCTAAAGAAATCAAAGGTCTTCACCAGGTAAAGCCACCGTCTCTGGTTCCACTGTATCTGCTGGGTCCACGCAGGCTCCCTGTGTCCAGACCTGTTGAGCCATTTGTATCTGTGTAACAAATGACTTGGAGATGCAATTAAAATAAGCAAAATATAATGCAAAAAAATTGGAAAAAGTCACAAGTGAAATGCTTTTATGCAAACAGGTTTTTTTTTACAATGCTGTTCGTGACTTAGTACAAAGAACTGGGAGCTTCTGCCTACTGTCTAACAGCAATCACTTACGGCGCTCATCTTCTGAGGCTTCATTCTAAGGAGAGCTGCACACTGTCAGCTTGGTTCTGTGGCTGTTGACAGTCATATTTCCTTGCTATGAAAAAAAACCAACAATAATAAGCAAAAGAAGAGATAAATCAATGAAACTGCAAAATAATTACTAGCTAACATCATTAAATCATAGTCAAGCCATGATTCTCAGTAAAGAATTAGCTTGGAATAAAGCAATTTTATTTCTTTGGAGGAAATTTATTATACTTCATGATCCTCTAGTTTCTCAACACTGCTGCACCCATTTTGATATGTTTATTATTATTATATACGTATTAGGATTATTCAGAACTTTAAAATACAGGGCAAACATTAATTAAGCTATTAAAATTAATGTTTTGTCATTTCCTTCCTTATTACCCCCATTTCTACCTTAAGTCAATAATGCTTTTGTCCATGTTGTAAGGATTTTGATATATTTTAACTTATAAGCCTAAGAGACTTATTATTGAACAAAAATGTCAACAACATAAACCAGATATGCAATTCTGTCTTCTTTTTGTACTTTTAAGAAATGTTTATTGAAGAAAAACTGTCTTAATCTGAAACTAGAGAAAACACAGCAAATATCATTCACTGCTTAGCTTTAAAACTTTCAACCTCTTCTTTTAAAGTCTTCACTAGCCAAGAAAGAGATACTATTTATTTATGCTACTCAGGGTAGATCCAGATTTTTGTGACCTAAAGAGCTTTGGGGGTCCTCTTCAAGAAAAAGAATTTTCTTTGCTATTTCCTCTCGAACTGCCAGACTCTGTCGGGACAAGACATGTGATGAACACTAAGAATGACCGATTATGCTGGGATTCGTTAAATGTGCAAACCCACACATATACTGTTTATAAGCATAATGGCGCTCAAAGATGTCCACAGCCTAATCCCTGTAATCTGCGAACATGTTACCTCCCAGGGTAAAAGGGGCTTTGAAGATGTGATTAGGTCTTGAGATGGGGAGATGACCCTGGATTATTTGGCTCAACATAATCATACGGTCTCTAAAAATCTTTTTTAAGAACATTTCCTGGCTAAGTTCAGAGAGAGGAGATGTGAACATGGAAGAGTCAGAAGGATGCAATGCTGCTGGCTTGGACGAGGAGGAAGGGGCCGTGAGCCAAGGAATATGGGCGGCCTTCAGCAGCTGTAAAAGGCAAGGACACGGATTTTCCCACAGACTCCAGTGAAATGGAACCTGCTGACTCCCTGGTGTTAGCCAGTGAGACTGCCGTAGAACTTCTAACCCACAGAACTGTGAGACAGTACCTTCATGTGTTTTAAGCTACCAGATTTGCGGTAATTTGTTACAGTAGCAACAGAAAACTAACACGCTCTGCAAACATGAATTCTGACAAATTTTATGTCATTCCCATCAAAATGTCGAAAAAGGAAAAAATTGTACAGTGGGTTTATAATTATATCTGCTACATTATTGAGGATATTACTAATAGAGGATAACTTCCGTTTTGAGTAGGCATCAATAAAAACTTAATTCTTATAATTTTCCATATAGAACTTCCAATTCTGCACTTTTTTTTTACAATACTTAAATTTTTCAAAGGATTTTTTTTATTATGGTAAAATATACACAACATAAAATTTATAATTGTAACCATTTTTAAGTATATATATATAGCTCAGCGGTAGTATGTATGTTCACACTGTTGTGTAACATCACCACCACCATCCACGGAACTCTTTTCATCATCCCAAACTGAACTCTGGACCCTTTAAACAGTAATCCCCCCGCCTTCAGCCCCTGGCAACCACCATTCCACTTTCTGTTTCTTTGATTTGTTTCATACAAGTGAAATAATCCAGTATGTGTCCTGTTGGGACTAGCTTATTTCACTTAGCATAATGTCCTCAGGTTCATCCATGCTGCAGTATGTGTCCGAACGTCCTTCCTTTTAAAGGCTGAATAGCATTCTATCGTGTGCACCACACTGTTTATCCATTCATCTGGTGAGGACATTTGGGTTGTTTCTACCTTTTGGCTATTGTGAATAATACAGCTATGTTAAATTAAATTGTCTCATTTGGAACTGGTAATACATGTGTATGGTAAAAAATGCAAAAGGAACAAAAGCATAAACATCTGAAAATGGTGCTAAGCATTTGCAAATGGAACTAAGTTTTCATTACCAACTATTTCTGATAACCTTTGAACGCCGTTCCAGAAAATCTATTTCAAACATGCAGCACAGAGTATACTCACAAAGGGAATACATTTCCAGTTGTTGTCGTAAACGAATTTTGCTTATTGTGTCGTAAAAGTTGGGCTCTGACAAAGTTTCTTCTGTAGGTGGCACACTGAATATCCTCATAATTTTCCTTTTATTCCTAAAACACAAAACCAGTGCGGTGCAGAACAGAGACATCCATTAATGTCCATAGGACTGTGTCATTCTCACGATCCCGGCAATCGGAACCTACATTAAAAGGTCTTAAATGACAACAAGCCCATCTTATTTTCTGTTTTGTCTCTGAGGGATGCTTCCTTGGCGCAAGTATTCTTTCTTTCACTAACAAGTGTGAAGCTGTACATGTACAGCCACAGGCTGTGAGAAAAGAAAGTAGCTGAACATGTCCATTTAATATAACAAAGTGAAGTTACCTCCATATGGTTTTCCTCAATCTCCCCAAAAGCCAAATATTGTATGGAAAAATCCACAAACATGAAAACATCTGATTTTTTCCTCCCTCTCACCTCCTCCAGATAAAGCTAAATTACTGCGTTAGAGAAGAAACTGGATTTGAGCAGACCTTAATTGTGGAAAATAATGAATAAACATATTTCTTAAATACAATAGCATGGCCTTAGTGGGGACATCTTTTTAAAATTAAGAACAGTGAAAAAAAAAATGGCAGTGTGCCTCTGCTTTCAAAAGAAAGGTGGGAGGAAGCGGAGGCTATTTGCAGAGAGCTGTCACTTCCAAGTGCATCGGGGACAGAAGGCGTGGCCTCCTCTCGCCCGCACCCTGGAGCTCGGGGCCAGTGGTCCAGCTGCCGAGAGCTCAGCCAGGAGGGCAGGCTCAGAACCATTGCCCAGGCCAAACGTAAGTTAGTTCTGGATTACTATTAATAATTATTTTGAACTATTCGGTGCCTTTTTTTACCTTGGCAGAGGACACCCTGAAGCATGTGGCTGTAATAAGCAACTTGGTCTAACTAATGCTGCTTTTCCTCTTCAAAACACCCCATGGAATTAAGGCAGGAAACACCGATCGAGGATTTACACTGTGCGGGCACACCCAGGACTCAAAGGTGAAAGACAGAAGACATTTTATGGAGTGGACAGACAAGTACTCAGGGAAGACTAACATCGTTTAGCAAGTGCTGCTACACAGACACACACAAGAGACAAGAAAAGCTTAAAGAGACTGAAGAGATTTGCTGAATACATAGGAGTTAGTGTTTCTGCATTTCAGGGACTTGGGCCAAAAAAATGTGTTCATTGAGGGGTGACAATGAACCCAGGCTGGATGATAAAATTGGGCTATATTAGAAATTATAGAATTGGGAGGTTAGGGCAGCTGGCCCAGTTGCTGAGGGCTATACTTAAGCCTTTGTCCCTTACAGTAATGGTGTTTTTAGAGCCTTGGTCACCGGTGCTTGAGGAGAGACCAGAGCAGGAACAAATACTCTGACGAAATTATTTTTATGCATTCAATTCAGACTTTTTAAAAAATGTGCAAAACTTATAATTGCAGTTTCTTAATTACCCTGAGAAACTAAAAAATTTACCTCTTGGCATACATGAAGAGCCCGAAGCTAACGAGGATAACTATCAAATAAACATTGGTGGCTTCGTTCCAGGCTTCATGAACAGTGTAATCAATAGAGCCATCATCTCCCATCACTCCGTAACCTCCGGCCATGGGGCTGTAAGAGACAAGAGAAAGCAGGGTTCTTTCCATTAACGGTGGTGTGACTGTCTGGAGAAGGGCTGGCGCACATGTGGTCTGTTTGTGCATGGCCCGTGAGCCAGAATGGAGTTACATTTCTTTCTTTCTTTTTTTTTTTTTTTTTGAGACAGAGTCTCACTGTGTTGCCCGGGCTAGAGTGCCGTGGCGTCAGCCTAGCTCACAGCAACCTCAAACTCCTGGGCTCAAGCGATCCTACTGCCTCAGCCTCCCGAGTAGCTGGGACTACAGGCATGCGCCACCATGCCCGGCTAATTTTTTGTATATATTTTTAGTTGTCCAATTAATTTCTTTCTAATTTTAGTAGAGACGGGGTCTCACTCTTGCTCAGGCTGGTCTCGAACTCCTGAGCTCAAACAATCCGCCCGCCTCGGCCTCCCAGAGAGCTAGGATTACAGGCGTGAGCCACCGCGCCCGGCCACATTTCTTAAATGTAATGTCTTAAATGGTCTGAAGTACAGACAGCCCTTCATATCCGTGGATTCCGCATCCACAGATTCAACAAACCACAGATGGAAAATATTCGGGGGAAAAACAATAAAAAATAACAAGACAATTAAAAATACGAATTTAAAAAAATACATTATAACAACTATTTACATAGTACTTAAACTATGTTAGGTATTACAAGAACGCTAGAGATGATTTAGAGTCTACAGAGGATGCATGTAGGTCATAAGCAATTACCATGGCATTTTACATCAGGGACTTGAACGTGTATGGATCTTGGTGTCCTTAAGGGTCCTGCACCAAACCTCCAGACACCAAGGGAGGACCGTACCTATACCTTAAACATCCTTGATTATGCTTCACAGCCCACGAAACCTAAAATATTTACAACTTGGGATAAAAATATCACTAAAAGGACAAAGGCTGAAATGCTATTGCTGTCGCCAAATTGTAACTATCAACCAGGTAAAAGCAAGTGAATACCTTAAACCACAGACTGAAACTTCTGGCTGTGCTACGAGACCAGCACTGCGCTTGCCACAACAGTGCAGCCTTGCAAAGGTGTGACAGCCAGTACGAAGCTAGCTCTCCCACAGGCCTCCAGACACCACCAGGAAACGGAAACGTTTGGAGCTTTATCTGGTTTGGGACTGTTAGCCAAATTTGGTTAAAAGAAGCTATGGGATGAAAAGTTACTTTTTGCTATTTACACAGCTGTGACTTCTACTCAAGGAAATGCATTCTTTGGACATTCCCACAGAAAGTAAGTGCTAACAGAAGTGTATCAAACAGCAAGTAAAAGAGTAATGATTTCTTACTTGTATTTGAGAAGTTAATTGAATTTTTCCTTAAAGACAAAGTTCCTCCCTTGTGTTGGACATAAAAGGTAAGTCTAAGGAAAATGACCTAATAATAAGTGAAAAAAATTGAGAAGTGTTTTAGACACTCTATAAAAAGGAGAAAAACTGAACAAATGATAGGTGGTTAACTGCACTGTAGTTTCTAAGAATAACAGTTATTGTCTAATACCAAGAAAAAGAGTATCTGGAATGTCTAAAAAGTTGTTTTGCAATTTTTTTTCTAGGCTGCCTAAAATAATAAAGGCATTACAGAAATTCTTCCACTAAAATACCTTGCAATCCAGCCTGTAAGCCTCCAAAATGTTCATTAGTGTAGATTTGGCTCAGTTAATAAAAATGTATTGAGGACAGAGTCTGGCTTTTTTCTTCTAGCTTGCCTCTGTATAAAATGAATGAAATTTCAGGAGAGGTCTGCTCCTGACTCACGTGGAGTGTTTCCCCCTTTCTGACAACTGGTCTTTGTCAGATGTTTGGGGACATACTGTACTCATTTAGAATAAAGAGAATATCATGAATAGCCATTTAGCTTACTCTTTGTGCTGAGGGCAGGAGTAATTTCTCTAAAACATCCATTGGTGTCTGATGAATATAAAGATCAGTCTTGTGAAAATTAGCCAGGAAACAATAAAAACTTAAATTATAAAAATTTATGGATGCAAGATCAAAATGTTCTTTAAACACTAGACTTCACTCAATTCCTAGATATTAAAGACAGGCTATGGAGGTTTTTGTTCTGTTTTGAGAGTTGGGAGGTACAGGTGGTATTGAGCATGTTCACAGTTTCAATTTTTATTCCTTAAAACAAAACTCGAGCTCCTCTGAATGGAATATTATGATTTACATCAAGTAATCAGCCTACTTTAGAGATGGAAACTTTTGGAAGACCAGACACTATAATTGGCTTTACGATTTATGGAATCTCAAACTGTTAGTACCAAAATGTAAAATAGCAACAACCAGTGCGTTTGGCAAAAAAAGATGATTTTATGTGTCTGATTTGAGATGCTGCAGAAGGCCCAGGGTAATCACGCGGCAAGGGTGGTAGCTTTCAGGATGGGGAGTTATTAACAAATTGAGAAAGAAAAAGAGAACAATATATAGCAGTGACCATTCGAACATTTCACAGGTGTCATTTATCTGACAAATTACAAAAGTGTTTGTGACCTGTTTTCTAATGACTACATAGATTTGATCCAGGTTAATTTCTTGCTTCAATTTTTCACACAATTTTATATATGTGCCACTCAATAAATGGTGTATGCCTACCCAGAGCTTGACTTCCTCCTGCTCCAAATATGCAGCCTTTAATTACATTTACAAAAGGATTTCTAATTACTGCTGACCCTAATGGTAAAATTTTAACGTGAATTATACAACATATATTATACAACATCATTGGTATGCAATGTCACCACTATCCCATGACTCCAGGGACATGCACTTGAGTTATTTTTAGTAGTGTAGTTGTGAAAGGTTTGCATGGAGGCTAGGCCTTTCCTGCCAGTCCTCAATTACGGCCAATGGCATGCCTTTGCAAGACTGCCAGGAGTAAGGAATGGTCTAGTCCAGAGTCATAGTACAGACCCATGGCCCACATGTGGCCTGAACCATGACCCTGCCCCCTCCTCCCCGGCATGCCATAGCGTAACCAAGTGTACACGGATACCTGTTGCGTGGTTACTGCACACCACCACAGCCTTCCTCTAGAGTCTAAAGCAAACTGCCCAGGGATATTACAATGGGTCATTCCTGGCAAGTTAATGATTCAGCAAGATTACCAATATACCTAGTCATGTGCCTGGTGTCATTCAGGGCTCTTTTGAGAAAACTGACCTTTTTTTCACATTTTTCCTGTAATGTAATGCTTGAGCTACTTCAGTTAGGAGATGCTAGCATGAGCTGAATTAAGTCCCAAGTAAATATGAGATAAAGAGATAAAGTTGCCAAAATATAACAACAAGAAGTTGGTTTTAGGTTGATAAACGTTTAGGTTGAGAACTTGGCTAGGGATCACATAACTGTACCCTAAGTTTTAAAACTGGTGTCCTAATTTTGGCTTCCGGATTCCACGTCTAGGTGGACCTGCAATGGAGCATGCTTAGGATCATGCCTTGAATGTTATCATTTTTGTCTCTCAATTAGAACCTTGTTATTTTCTGATACAAATTCAGATTTGAAACACTTAGTTCCTAAAGTTCCTTACGACGAAATCCACTGCATAAATAAACAGGACTTATTTCTCTCAGCCCTGTGAAACAAAAGGTTTGGGTCCTGAAGCAGAAGGGCACAAGCCAACAGGCCTTCGCCCAGTACCGACGGAGGCGATTACTTCGGTGGTCTTCGCGCTGGGGGGTCCACGCATTCACCGAACTTCCACAACCGCCCTCTGGGGAGGCACAACAGCTCCAGGTCACAGAAGAAATGGGGGTGGCGGCTGTGGTTATATAACCTGCCCAAAGTCACACGGGCCAGGGTGGAGGAGCGGGGTTGCCACACACCTCTGACTCCGAAAGCTGAACTCTTCAACCGTGACCCCGATCTTGCGAGACCTGCTCCTCCCGGAAGGAAATCACGCCGAGCCGGTATACAATGTGATCCTCTCGGGGGAAGCAGCCCGGCCCGAGCTCCGGAGCCGCAGCTCGCAGGCTGCGCGTGATTCGACCTGAAAACGCGCCCGCGGACGCCCGGCCACCCCGGGCCGGCGGCCCCGCGCTCGCACCGCGATGGGCCCTGCGGCCCTCCGCCCGCGTGTCCCCACGCGCAGCCCCACGCCGCCCGCGACGCGCAAGGGTCCGGCGCGGCCAGGCCGGGGGCGCGAACCCTCCCCTTCCCCGCGCCCGGGGCGGGGCGGCGTGGGGGCGGGGCCGGTGACGCGGCCGCCGGGCCGGGAGGCGCGGGCGCGGGCCACTCACGCTGCTCGCTCCGAGGGCGCACGCGGCCGCCGCTGCTCCGCTCCCGGGCGCTTACTCCGGCGTCGGGGCCGGGCGCGCGGGAACCGGTGACCGAGCGGACCCGGACGACCTCTGCCTGCGTCACTTCCTGCCGGCCCGTCGGTTTCCGGATGAGACGAGGAGCCAGGTCTTTTTTTTTTTCCTCCCCCTTCCCCTTTTCAGTTTTTGAACCGGAGAGACGCGGCGACGGCCCCGGTGCCGCCCCCGGGCGCGTGAGTGGAGCCCGGCTCCCTTCCCCCACCCGTGGCGCGTCACCGCCGCGCCCCGCCTGGCCGTCGCGCCGCCCTCTGCGAGCCCCGGCGGAGTCCGGGCCGCGAGCGGGGACCCGGGGGCGCGGGCTCGGCTCCGCGCCCCGCAGCGCACGTGGACCTGGCCGCAGGGCGACGAGCAGAAGCGGCGGGGACGGGCCGGTGCTGGGAGCGCCGCGCCTCCGCCCTCCCGCCTCGGCGCGCCCCGGGCGGGACTCGGCCGGGAGGGGCGGGTGCGCTGTCCCGCGCCGCGAGGGGATGCGGCGGGCACCGAGGTGCTCTTTGGTCGTCGCGAGGACAAGGGCTACTTGTAGTGTTTGCGCGTACTCTGACGGCGCGCGCTCTCCAGACTGTCCTTGCATCTTCCCTGTCACAGTAAATGATGCGTGGCAGAGACTGTCGTGTTAAGGGCTGGATGTGGCCCGGATGCTGTAGCTTTGTCAGTTTTAAGTGTTTTGGGGTATTTCGTGTGTGTGTGTGGGAGGGGGCGTGACTTGGAAAAAAGTGTTTTCCAGCTTGAGACGGGTAATGAATTTATGTAGGATTTCAGCGTCAGTATTGAAGTGATCAGATTTCAGCGATTGGTGCAGCCTTGCAAATAAATGGCCCCTTGTCCACGTGCTTGAGGTCTTAACTATTCATTTTGAGCAGGTTCTCTAGGATCAGCTGACTGGTAACTATAATTCATACTGGACCATGTAGAGGTTATATTCTTAAGTGATAAACAGAGGTAAACACTAACGTTTAACACTATACTCAAGTTTTCCACCCTTTGTGGGTCATCTGTTAGAATTAAACTCACCATTGTCTAGAATAAGACCATTACTTAGTACAATAGTATACTAGCTTTATTTATAGTATTTATATATTTACATATATACACATAGTCATATATATGTATATAATTTTATAACCATCTGGTTTGACTCTAAGGTTGGAAAATTAAGAACAGTAATAAGCAATGCTCAGTAATGTTTGTTTCCCAGGCCTCTGCCAAACTGTCTACATGCTTTATCTCATTTAATCTTCAGGAGTAACTTCTTACATAAGCAAAGGTTGCTCAAAAATATTTGAATACACGAGTTTTATTTGAATGTGTCCAAATGTGTAATGTGTACATTAAATACTTGTTTTTGCTTTTGTAAAAGAAGGGCATTGGTAATATAAAATGACCCATAAGGTAAATTAATGTTTTTTTCAAATCGAGAGATGGCTTTAAAAATTCATAGAACTGCAATTAGTCCCTTTATTTGGGCATTGAGTAGGTTCCAAAGCTCTGCGTCTCTTACATACCCAAGTTTTGGTTACATAACATTGTCACCAAATGAACAGACTATGAAAGTAACTACTGGGGTAGTTGTAATGGCCCATTCTTAAGTGGCCCCCTTTCCATATTTAATTTCTTAGTGACATTCCTAATTAAGGATAAACAAATGACATAATGAAACAAGACTAATTTTCCAATACTAAACTAAGGAAATAAAAACAGTGGGCTGGTTATTATTTTTGATGAATCTAGCACAATTTCACAAGGCATATGAAGTTAAGGATGTTAGATTACTTGCATTGTTGGTAGTGAAAGATTTTTGTGCCCAGTTTTTTAATTTACCTTTAAATATCTTCAACATGTGTTTACTGTTGAGTTCAGTACTCGTGCATTAAGAAGTTAAGTTTTTGATTGGATTTAGTTAAGTAGTTTTGGCTGCTGTAATCAATAAGTTTATCTTGGCTATGTTTCCAAAGATACAATTTAATGATTTATATAGACATAGCAGTTCCGATTAATATTGATTCTGAGATGAGGGTGGGGCCTGACAGTTTGCATCTTGTTAGAGTGGAAACAGTTGAAAGGACCAGAAAGAATGAGGAAAAGTACTTAGAGGTGTGTCTTCGTGATTAAAGGTTATTGGAGCTTAACTGTCTAGAAGATTCTAGTGGTCCATCTTTGGGAAGAGAAAGAGATTGAGAATACCTTGCCAGTCGGTATTTATATGAGGGTTTCTTTACCTAAAGGCATTCTCTGGGGAGGGGATGAGTGGAAAGTTGTCACCAGTAGAAGGATCTTAGAAGAAAAAGATGCACATATGTTTTCTTTTGGAGTTAATATAATAGTTTTATAGTGACTGATTCCTGCCTCCAGGTGCATCTTCAAGCCCTTTCTCGACTCTGATGTTTGTGGTGGTCGCTGGTAGATGAAGAGGGGAAAGTTGGGGGTGGGGAGGTGGGGAGCAAAGCATTATTAGGCTTTTGTTTGGGCAAAATTAAGGAACTGCACCTCCACAGGCCTCCGTTATACAAACCATTCCAATAATATTGACTGTATAGTTTGTAAATCTCTTAAGTTATTTGTATCAAGAAATATGGAGAATATCCCTTAATGTGCTTTATAAACGATGGAACATACTTAGAAAATGGTATATTCCAGTACATGAATATTATTGAAGTTTTCATAGCAGCCATTTCTGCATATTTGTCACTATTGGAAAGCCATAGTGACTACAGTAATAGCATTGTTTCCTGTCTGTAAGGCATTTAGGTGATGTTATGTTTCCTGTAATAGGAAGACAAACCCTTCTCATTCCTCACTTTGAAAATTGGCTTTCATATGGAGTGCCCATTAAGCTCTCTGAGTGCAGGGACTTTTTTGGTTTCAACTCATTGTCTTTTCCCCTGGGCCTATAACAGAACCTGGCATATGGAAGGTGCTCAGTGAATATTTGCTGAGTGACCTGTACCTTGGAATCTTCTCTTTCCACAAGTGAAGACCTCACTTGCCCTAAGGTGTAGGGCCACTCCAGCCTGACCATTCCAGAGTGTACAGCTCACCATGAGCTCTTGGACTATTAACTGTTTATACCACACTCTTTGCCATTTAATGTTTTATGGTTTTATATTGTCACGTAAGTGTTTCATGTATTTTGTTTCCCCAACCAAAATGTAAGCTCCTTGAGGCCAGGGGATATATGTTTATATAGTACTATTCTTGAGAACTGCCTTGGTATCCAGTATAGTATATATACAGAGTAGGTTTACATGTATCTATTGAGTGAATGTTACATACCATGGGGACACATCAAAGATATGCAAATAGTAGATACATTTTAGTTGGGCAAACCTAGTGTGTACTTGTGAAACAGTATGAGAGTTTAGAGCTAAATAAAACAGTAAGAGCAAGCATTTATGTACTGCTTAAAATGTGAATCTCACAACAATTCTTTGAAATAGGTATGTTTATTTCATTTTTCTAAGGAGGAAATGGAGGTACTGCAAAGTAATTAAGGCAAGTGTTGCCCAAGGTCATGCCTCAAATAAAAAGTAGGCAGTCTGGCTCCAGAGTCAGTGTGGTTTCTCTGGGGAGTTTAACTTTATATTTGAAGGGCGATCTAGACATTTGCACTACTTTCACATGTGTAAAAGATGCTCTTTTTAAAATTTCAAAGTAGCGTAAAAGATTGCAGTAACTCCGAGCTGCAGAAACAATGCTGAATTTTCTAGATAGAAGAAGTCAGTGATGAAATGGTTAAGGGGATACTGTATATTGAAATGGATAAAGACGGGAGGAGGGACAATGGGACACACAATTCTGAATCTTAAAGTTCTTTTTATAGATGTTGAATTCTAGGACAATGATTCACCAGGACATAGGACAATGACTGTTTAAGTTACTAATTTAGTGTCAAAAAACTTACACCCAATGAAATAATATTGAATGATATGATATATTAATGCATATTTTTTTGAGTGCTCACTAGATTTGAAACCCTAGTGGTATAGGGTGTTCAGTAACGCCCACATTACCATACCAGTAACACCCACATTACCATACTCATGACCATAATGTGGGCGTTACTGCAGACTTCCTGTGCACTTCTGTCCGTTTGCTTTGTCCTTCTGTGGAATCTTGATCCACTTTTTCAGCTCGTATTGGGCAATAGAGAACACTATTGGGGTCAGAAGACCTCTTCGGACCAAGTAATATTTTTTGGTGGAAAAAAATGTAAAATTGTGTGGTTGGTTTTGTGATGAACCTGGAATAAAGTCAGTTTGAGGCTGTGTAGAATTAGATGAGGGTCTACAAACAGATCCCAATAGGATGAAGAACAGTGGTATTCTCTGAGAGCCTAATTATGTGTCCTCTTTGTTGGGAGCTGACAGTATTATTTTGGGGACATCAGGCATGAACAGAGTCACTGAATCTAAATGACCCCACAGATAGGGGAGTTGTACATCACCACACCTGCTGTCCAGGAGTCAGAGGAGGAAGTGCCCTCGAAGGAAGCATGGATTGCAAGCCCGGTTGGCAGCCAGGGAGGACACACACGCCTTGCAGGTACAGTATTCTGTGTTACTGGTCGGTGTCCCCTGGAAAGGATGACGTGTCAGTCTACACTCAAGTGTTTATCCATTTGGCACATTAGCCCTAATCTTAATTTTAGGCTCTTCCCTGAATGGGAGGTTTTTAGGAAAAGAGAAAACGATACACTGATTCATTTATTTTAAGCCTCTCAAGCTAGGATAATTTAATGAAATCTCCACTACCCTCAATTTATGAATTTTCGGGTTGGAGAGCAGGATTCTGAAAATGATCTAGTTCTTTAACCCAGGAATGTACATCAGAACGACCCAGGGTTTATCCCGTGTCTTCACTTAACTTCGGAGATGCAGATTCGGTAGAGTTGCCGGAGCAGGGCCTGGGTGTGTGTTCTAAACCGTCTACAAGTGATTCTGGTGCCGCTTGCCCTGTAAGAAGAACCAGCCTTGTATTTCATATATAAGAAAACCAGGGAAAAGAGAAATGAGTTGCCTAAAGTTGGTTCAGTGGTACCAAGATTTTATCACCAGATAATACACAGTTTCAGAATTTTATGGCTGGAAGATGTTTTCCAGGTCATCAGTTTGGTAACTAATTTTACAGCTGAATATTAACGATGCTTGTTCACACCATTCTAAGTAAGATGTGAATGCAGGGAAACTTTTTTTTTCACAAAGTCTGTCTTGTATTCTGGCTGTGGTAAAGATTGAAAAGCCAATCACCAGAATTTCTATATAGTTTTAACTGATGCTTTTTATTAATTTCAAGAACTGTCAATTATTTGCAATATTTTTATTGTATATCCTGTGGTGCCCTTTTTAATTTTTTTAAAAAAATATTGATACTTAAAGCTGACATAAAACATATTTCTTATTTGAATTACTTATTTTTCAATCTTAGCTAAAATATAGTATTGAGTGAAAATTTGCAGTGCATCATTAGGGTTTCTTTTAATCTCGTTGATTTTTAACTTTTCTTCTTTTAAGGCATCTTACCTTGGAAACAGCACACTTGGCTTCCCCGTCATCTTCGAACGCGAGGTAGTCCCAGTTTCAGCACGTCCTCCACAGAGACCAGCGGGCCAGGCTTCTTCTTTCAAGGCGTCTCTGTAAAGCCTGTGGAGAGGCAGCCATTCCGGAAGTAAATAATAAAGCGTCAGCCGCCTGAGAGTGGACTGCATGGCCAAGTGACTCGTGAAGATTTTTAAGGAAGAATGGTAAAAAACTGAAGAAAAGGCACATCCCTGAAGCACCACCAGTGCCATCTAGGATTTTTGAGCAGCTGAAAGAAGATAGTTCTGAAAATGTGAATGAGCAAGACTCTAGCATGTTTCTGTGCTTGTTTCTTACGTTGTCTTTGTTAACCCGTCCACTTTTGTGTGTGATATTTGAGTTATTTTCCAGTACTGCAATAGCTGGCAGTCTACTTATGATCAGAGTTTTATTCTGTGTGGAACAGCAGTGGGACAAGAAATAGGAACAATTCACCGGCATATTGGTTCCCAGAAATGGACTTTCCCTGAGTATTGCAAGAGGGTGTGGCATGTGGCCGAATGGCTTCTTCATACTGGCGTGCTGCTGCTTGTTGACACTCACTGTGCCTTTGGTCTCATCTTCCTTTATCTGCTCCCAGCCTCTGTGTGTGCCTACTCTTTTTGGAACAATTTCTTCGCACTGATGATCTGATTACCATATTTTTCCAGTTTACTTTTATTTTTTTGATTTAAAAAATTTTGGCCGGGCATGGTGGCTCACACCTGTAATTCTAGCACTCTGGGAGGCTGAGGCGGGTGGATCGTTTGAGCTTAGGAGTTCGAGACCAGCCTGAGCAAGAGCGAGACCCTGTCTCTACTAAAAATAGAAAGAAATTATCTGGACAACTAAAAATATAGATAGAAAAAATTAGCCAGACGCGGTGGTGCATGCCTCTAGTCCCAGCTACTCGGGAGGCTGAGACAGAAGGATCGCTTGAGCCCAGGAGTGTGAGGTTGCTGTGAGCTAGGCTGATGCCACGGCACTCACTCTAGCCAGGGCAACAGAGTGAGACTCTGTCTCAAAAAAAAAAAAAAAAAAAATTTTATACTAGGGACAGGGTCTCACTGTGCTCAGGCTGGTGTTGAACCCCTGAGCTGCAGTGATCCTCCCGCCTCAGCCTCCCAGAAAGCTAGGATTACAGGCGTGAGCCACCGCGCCTGGCCTTTTTCCAGTTTAAAAATGAGAATTATATCTTCATAAATAGGCCTTTGGTGTGGTTGTTGTTCTACCCTACTTTATTTTCCAAGATCAAGAGTAGAACAATTCCCGCTCTTTCCAGTGTTGCTCTTCTCTACGATTTTCATGTCCTTGTTCAGTGTTTTGTTGTCACCTCTCATTTTCTAGATGGAAGTGAAAGGTGATCTCTACCTTCTATTTTCAGTTATCCAGGAGACCAGAGCAATGTGGGTGGGAGAACTTTGAAAATTTAACAAATCTTTTAGCTATTGTTAAGAGATTAAACTTCCATCAAGCTTCTTTTTAGCAATATTGGTGTAATATTACCTCCTTACCTTTTGTTTTTTGGGGGATGCAGTAAGAAGGTGGATTTCTCCAAATGCTAGTAAGCACGGGCAGGGCGGTGGAGGTTATGAAATTAACACATGAAATAGTTGGCCATTAAGGTCATTACATGTACACATTTTTAGTTAAGAAATTAGTTTGTTGATTAGAGTGAAGAGTATTTGCCATAAGTAAATCTTAACTATTTTCAACTCTTCTATGAGACCTATCAATAATTTTCTCTTCTATAAATTGAAAGTTTTTGCTCTTATGAATCAAGTTTCATCCAACAGGGAAAAATAAGCAGAAGAAGAATTTTTATTTAATTTAATGAACAAAAATTCCGTAAAGCATTTGGGTTTCCCACATTTCCTTCCCTGTGGGCCTGTTTTATGTCATTCTTGTTGTCCCCCTTCTACCCTCTGTCACCTGGTCCCTGCCTTTTCCATGATTCGGCCTCCCATTTAAAATGTTTTCTGGTCTCTACCGTCTCTTGACTTGGTGTGCCTCCTTCCTAGTCTCTCGCTGCTGTTATCCCGATTCAGCTCCTGCCAGCTCCTGGCCTGTCTCGTCCACCCTCACCTCTCGTCCAGTCTCATGCTGTCAGTGGCGGTCTCTTCTTTTCCACCACTGCCGTCCGCGTAGCTCACTGATCTGTCCTGTGGTTCATCTGGTTCTGATTCCTTCTCATCTCCAAGTTTATGTTCTCTTCCTGTGCTTTTTGTTCATGGTGCATTTGCTCCTTGGGCTCTTTCTCTACTTACAGATATTGCTAGATGGATTTGTTGTCTGTCTTTGCACAGAACATGGTTCCTTGCTCTCTGTTTCCTAGGTAGCCAGGATGAATCAATTATTATTCACTTTTCTTGGAACACTGAGCTTCTAAGAACTAGATTGGTGTTTTCTGCTTCTAAGAATTAGATTGGTATTTTAGAAGACTATTTAATATTACTTTAAAGAAAGTCAAGATTAGACGTGATCAGGATTAGTTGTGTGATCCTGTCATTTTTATTCAGGAGTTTGTGGCATTTATCATTCCCTTGTCTGGAAAGATTAAAGAACATCCAAAGCATATTTGGGGTGGAGGTGGGGCGAGAGCAGGAAGAGAAAGGTAAGTGCTAGAGAAGGCCTCATATTTCTAGAAATGGAAGGAAAACCGAAACCACAAGCTTGAACGTTTATTAGGTAAAAGGTCCCTTGAAAGAATAAAAAGTATCAGTATTCTATTAACTAGTTTTAATATTGGGTCATTTGTATTTTTCATTCCCCTTAAGTTCCAAGATCTTTAATGCTTAATATGACTTAATCTTATAAATATTCATTTTGAGAGACTTGATGTCTCCTTAAGTATCAACCTGTGTCATTTTGTAATTATAATATTCCTAAAATGCCATTAACAATTGCCCTCGTTAGTTTCCTGTGTGGGAAAGCATATAAATCGCGTGGCTTGCCCCTGTGGACTCTGGTTGTGTTGTAATGAGAAGACAGCTTTCGATAAGACTTTATCTTATTCTGTTGACTCACACTGTCTCATGTTTTTCCATTATTCTTATATACTCAATGATTGTGGTACTGCCCTGTACTTTAATTTTTTACAATGGGTATGAACTGCTAGAGGTTCACTGATGTGAGTGTAGTTCTTAAACTTAGAAGAGAAAACCCTGTACATCACACGTTGTGGTGTTATTAAGAATAGCCCTACAAGGAGGGGCTACTCACACTGAATGCTCATGCTGCCCGAGCTTTCCTTACCTGTGGTGGTGGCTGCTGACTCCTTGGAGCAGCAAGGAGCAGCCACTAGTCTGGCAGTGGTCCCGCCACCCAGGAGCAGCTAGTAAAGAGGCCTCAAAGCCACAGTTAGGCCCCTAGTACGGAGCCTAGATGCGTTAAGTCACTGGTCTGTTTTCTGGAACTATAGAGAGGAACAAGGTATGGTCCATTCTTTTTGGAAACTTACAATTAATTGAGTTGGGAATATTAACAAGTGAATGATTGCAGTACGGTGTGGCAATGCTAAAATATACATATGTAGCAGCTATTATAGGAATAGACCAATAGGGAGAGTCAGAAAGTATAGGTCAAAACCTAAAAAAGTCAGGCATATGTGTGTATATTTGGTGTATGTATATAAATTATGAGGTAATAATCTTTGCTGTATCCTTACTACCTGTGTGAACTAGGCAAGTTACTTAAAACACTCAGCCTCAGTTTCTTCATCTGTGAAATGGTGATAATATCTAGTAGTATTGATACATGGATGAAATGAGGTAATCTATAGGAGATGTCCGTATGGTGCCTTATTCAATTATTATTTAGAATTTGGAGAACTAAACAACTGGTAGAGAACATAGTATAGGGAGAAAAAAGAAAATTCCTTTTGGGGAGTTACACTGTTACTGCAGAGATAATATGACCAATTGCTGAAAGTGCTTGGAATTCCAATTTTAAATTTGCTTTTACGGTTTTTAAAAAAACCGACCATACTACCTTCTAGTCAGTCCCCGTTCTTGTTTTTAAATGGAACTTAGTTTATTTAGCTTGACCTATTTACGAGATGTCTTTCCCAGTGACTTTTGTCTCTTCTCGTGAATCAAATCCATTCTTAAAGAACTTAAAATTTGCAACAGTTGAGCATATTTGACAGAAATGTGCCACAGGCTTCTAAAGTCTGTTCAGCAAAAAGCATGCAGCATTGGAATAGGTCTTCATAATGACTGCTTTCAGGAAAGTTGGAGTAAAGTTTATTGGTTACAGAAGTTTTATAGTATGTTACAAAATCAACCAGTCTTTGTATAATTGTAAACCTGAGACTGGGTTATATATGCCAACCTGAGTATATTTCTTGGATTGTATTATGTTTTGCTGACTTGAAAAAAATCAACTTTTTTGGTTTTTAAAAGGCGTTGTGTAAATTAACTTCCTTTAACAGAACCAAACTGAACAAACTACATTTCTAATACGGAAGAAATTGGCACAGTGATTTGATATTATTTTGTTTATGGTGGATTATCTCCCTAAATTATCAAGTCTTTAAGGTATGGGTCTGTGGCCTAGACCATATGATAAATCAGGCCGGATAAATATTTCATTCGAGAAAATTCATTCTTCTGATCTGGGTTGTTTGGCCTTGTGAAAATTCACTAATTCATTGCATGATTACCCTTGTCTATTGTATTGTCATTTTGTGTATTACAAGGATTATATTGATACAGAGCTACCAGCTCAGGATTTTGATAAAGATCAAAATATGTCTTACCTAAAGCTTTTTTTTTAGGAAGTTATTATTTATAATCGAGAGGTTTCAATAGATTTGGTGTATATCTTAGAACTGATGTTTATATTCATAGATAGGAAAACTGTGTTCCCATAGAAAGGGAAACATGGCGCGTTAATATTCCAAAGCTTAGTTTAAGCTGGTTGTGGTTAGAAGAGTGGCTTTCATTTGTGTCCCTGGAATTTGCAGTCGTCCTTTGGGCATGTTAACAGTAGCAGGTTTAACAGCTGTATGAACGTTTCGTTAGCAGGAATGTTTGGGAAATTGCTACAGATGTCGTCGAATGAGCCGAGGTGCTGGTTGTATCTTTCACTGCTACCTGTTATGCTCTTTGAGAAACTAAGATTTTTCTGATAGCATTTTTTTCTTGAATGGTTACTTGTTAATATTGTTTACAATAACAGTTCCTATTATGGAGCCTCGATAGGGCCAGGCTCTTGACATACATTTTTCTCTTTGCTATTACTTACATATTTTCTAATAAAATTTGATGTTATGAAATACATTTTATATAACATATTCATATATAGTATACAATATGTGTAAATATTGATAAATAAGTAAATAAGGAAATGTTAAGGGAGTTCTCCAGATCCATGGGTTTGTTGTATTACATTTTAAAAATGAGGAAATTGAGGGAGGTTATGGAGCTGCCTAAAGTCATGCAGATGAAGCGATGAAGCCAGGATTTTAATCTAAGTCCAGTTAAATCCCATGCTTTCTACCACTTTTCCGTACTGCCTTTTGAAATATTTCCCATTGAAAAAGTAAAATTTGGCTGTTTTATAAATGCATATTATTTTGAGCTAAGGAGTACTTTATCCTCTGCTGTACACCAATTTTTTTCCAAAATAAAATTACTTTGTTCCGATTATAGAAGTAATAAGTAATACTGTCACGTGTAATCAATGCTTAGTGGAAAAACAAAATCAGATAATTCAGAAAGGTATAAAGAAGACAGTGGTGAAAATCACTAGTAATTCTACCACGCAGAGGTTAATATTTTGGTGTATAGTCTTCCTGACTTTTTGGTGTGTAAACACATCTACATATATTTTATAAACACAAATTGGTTCATAACATGCATGCTGTTTATAACTCTTCCTTCATTTATTATATCTTGGCCTTCATTCTGTGTCATATGTTTTATATCTTCATTTAAATATTTTTTCCATTTTTTAAAATATAAACTTTTCCTTTTAGAAAAGTTTTAGATTTGCAGAAAAGTTGCAAAGACAGTATAGAGAATTCCCATATACTCTACACCCAGTTTCCCCAACGGTTAACATTTTGCGTTAGTGCCGTGCATCTGCTAGAATTAACGAACCAATGCTGGTCCCTGGTTATTAACTGAAGTCCATACTTTATTCAGATTTCCCTTGTTTCGCTCCGTGTTCTTCTGTCCCATGATCCCGTCCAGGACACCGTATCACATTTAGGCATCTTGTCTCCTTAGGCTCTCTTGCCTGTGGCAGCTTTTCGAACTTTCCTTTTTTTATGACCTTAAAGCAGTTTTGGGGTGTACTGGTCAGATGTTTTGTAGAGTGTTCGCAGTTGGGATTTGTCTGCCCTTTTTCTCATGGTTAAACCGGGATTAGGAGTTTTGGGGCAGGAGACCACAGACGCAGAGGTGCCATTTTCGTCAGCGTTTCAGCGGCGCCTAGGATCAGGGTGACTCACCACTGTTGCTGACATTGACCTTGAGCACCTGCTGGGCTGGCGGCTGTCAGGTTCTCCGCTGCTCTGTCACTCTTTTCACCCCTTTCCATGCTGTTCCCTGGGAAGGAGGGCAGCCTGCCCCTGCAGGGTGGGGAGCTCGGCTCTGCTCCTCCAGGGAAGAGTCTCTACACAAGTTATTTGGAATCCTGGTGTACAGGAGACATACCTGTCCTCCATTTATTCATTCAATCATTTCTATCAGTATAGACTGACGGATACTTATATTTTGGGTTATAATCCAATGCTACTTGATTTATGGCTCAGATTGTACTAGCTTTGTCCATGGGGACCTTTTTCGGTTGGTTCCTGTGACCCTTGCCATACCCCTACCATTGTGGGTCTATATCTTCATTTTTTTTTTTTTTTTTTTTTTGAGACAGAGTCTCACTCTTTTGCCCGGGCTAGAGTGCCGTGGCGTCATCCTAGCTCACAGCAACCTCAAACTCCTGGGCTCAAGCGATCCTCCTGCCTCAGCCTCCCGAGTAGCTGGGACTACAGGCATGCGCCACCATGCCCGGCTAATTTTTTCTATATATATTTTTAGTTGTCCGATTAATTTCTTTCTATTTTTAGTAAAGACGGGGTCTCGCTCTTGCTCAGGCTGGTTTCGAACTCCTGAGCTCAAACAGTTCGGCCTCCCAAAGTGTATATCTTCATTTTTTAAGTAGCTGCATGGGGTTCCATTGTGAGAATGTACCATGATATAGTTAACCAGTCCCTTGTTGATGGTAATTTAGATATCAGGTCTTTTCACTGTTATAAACGATACCATAATAAGCAATCCTCAGAAGATATTTATGAAAATATTTCTTGATAACGTATTAAGGGAAGTGCTGTATTTAAAGGTCTTTCCGTGTTACATTTTACGTGACACGTGACTTGACGAAACCGTAGGCAGATGTCTGCGGTAGCGAGCGCTGAGATGTGTTCATCACTGCAGTCGCCTCCCTTCCTTTCTCTTCTTCCTGCGATTAGGGGTGACGCGGCTGTGGTGCCAGTGGCCCTAAGGAGCTGCTTGGAGGTCACGCGCTGTCTTAAGATGCCTGTGCCACCTCTGCACAGACTCAGCTGCTGTAGACAGGTAACAAGATAAGTTTAAACTCAGATCAGAAAAAACACAGCATTCTCAGTGTAAAACATCTAGACCTGAAAGTGACCTTAGAAATCATCATGTTCCAGCCCTACGTTTTAGGGATAGCAAATAGTGTTTTTATAGCGATTTTATTATTAGTGATTTGCCTGGGATTGTGTAGTAGCAGAAGCATTCAAAAATCTGCATTTTTGCATAAGTCTCAGAATTTTTTGTTACATGGGTGTATTGTATATTCCATGCAAGAATATACACAGTTTTTTATGTTGGAAAATTTCAAGCACATACCAAAGAGGACAAAATAGTATAATTAATTCCCACATCCCCATCAACCACAGCATTATCTATCAAATTGTGACCAATCTTGTTTAAAACTCCTACCCACTCCCCACCACTATATTATTTTGAGGCAAATCCTAGGTATTAAGTCACTTCATCTATAAATATTTCAATATATTCAAAAGGAAAAAAACTTTTTTGAAAGCATAACCACAGTGCCATTTTCACACCTTAAAAACATTCCTATTCAAGGATATTTAGTTATAAAAACTTTCAAAATTTGTATTTACCATGGATTACAATATGGTTCCTTGGTATAATCCCCTGGGATTAGAGAGAGATTTCTGTCCACCAGACAGAATGACCTAGGTTATGGCTTTTATGAAAATCTGAGTGTCTGGTCGGAAGAAATAGATTAATCTTTTATGTGAGTACTTCAGAGGCAGATTCATAAAGAATGGATGACACATGTTTCCTGGCTGTATGTATTTGCTTTGTCCACCCTAATTAATACTTATTTTGTCTGTATGTGAGGAAGAAATGCCAAGGATATGACAACAAGAATTATTTTTCAGATTTCACCCCATTAACCGAAGCCATGATGGGAATTTAGTGCTGTAGCCATTCTACTCAGATCTTCTGTGGAGAGATTTTTTGAATGTCAAGTAAGATTCCTGCATGTTATTTCCTGAATTGGGAGTTTACAAAGCTTCTAAGAAAACCACCATGTTGATATCATCACTGAATTTGCTTTTAAGAAGATGACTTACCAGAAAAGAATACATTTGATATCAGAGATGATCCCACAGGCAGAACGAAGGCACTTGCTCCGTTTCCTCCAAGCAGCACGTTAAGTGGATTACTTGCCAGACTGCGACTTAAAAGGGTGATTAATTCTCCCGATGTTGTTTTGAATGTTGTCTTTTCCTGAGGTTTCAAATGATCATTAAAATTGAGATGCTCTTTCTCTCTACAAAACAACCCTGTCTCAGAGGCCTTATGCCCAGAACAACAAGCTTCCTTTTAAATTCCCATTTACTCACATCAGCTGTATCCTAGAACTGCCTGTTTGTTGATGTCCTGTGAAATATGCAGTGATCTAAATTGGAGCTGGGGTGATAAAGGACAGAAATTTTCCTCTGGCTTTTTTTAGGTGCGATTAAACCAGTCTTAACTGCATGATTTTATTTAAAACTATTTTGTTGCAAATAAATATTCATCTTGCCAGCCAATATTGTTCGTTATATTCAGACTCAGGTTTTACTCTAACCTAAGGTTAGACTTTTCTGCCTTGTATTTGGCAGCATTGCTGATTTTCCTTTGCCTATTCCCTTTTCTTTCATGAATAGACTTTATTATAGTCATTTAGCTATATTTTCCTCTCATTTTGAGTGTCCTCTTTGTATTAATTATTTCTGAATTCTGGCTCACTTTTATCTACTTAATTCCATTCAGTGAACACCTTTTGAAGAAGAGAAATCGATATTTTCTTCTTGTTTCTGAGCAAAAGTTGAAAGATTAATAAAAATAACCACATTTTCAAGTGCATCTCTGGTCAAGCGTATTCAGTTATTCTTGGCTAATGTATACTATGGATTTTAGGTTCTTGGAAGATGTGGTATTCAGTACAGCATGCTGTGAATGTGGGCGTATTTAGGATTTAGCTTTGTAGCACTTCAGCTACTCTGCCTATTTTAAGCTACTTTTAAAACCCCTTTTTGATACAGTAATGCTTTTTTCTTAAAATCCTCTTTGTTTTGGAATTGTCTTACTTTTCTTAACTTTGACACCTTTGCTACTTGCCAGCTGTGTGGCCTTGATTGAATTTCTTATCTTCTCTGTCCTTCAGTTTGCTGTCTGGGAAGTGAGGATGCCGAGTAGCGACCACCTCATTGAATTGTTGAGTTGAATGAGGTAAGCCGTAGTGCTGGGCACAGAATAAAGGCTCTGTAGCTGTTGTGCCAGCCGCCTTTTCCCCTCTGGCATCTATTTGTGCCTTTCCCCCTTACCTTCACCTAGATTAAGAAAAATGCTTTATGTATCTTTTTTAAGGAGGTGACCCCCTTCACATTTTCTCCAAACTTTAAAAACATCTTTATTTTAAAATGATCCTAGATTCACAGGAAGTTGTGAGAGTGGTACAGAAAGGTCTCATGTACCCTTCACTCAGTTTCCCCCAAAGGTAACTATAGTACAAGATCAAAACCAGAAAATTGCCATGGGTGCAACCCACAGAACTTACTGAGATTCCACGGGTTGCACACGCGCCCACTCGTGTGTGTGCCAGTCCAGCGCAGCTTATCATGCGTGATTTGTGTAGCCACCGCCACAGCCAGGGCGGAGAGCTGACCCGTCACCGAGGATCCCCCTTGCCGCGTCTTCATAGCCACCCCCGCCTCTGGTAACCACTAATCTGTTCTCCGTCTCTTACAGTTTTGTTGTTTCTGAGAATATTATGTGAGTGGAATCATGCGGTGTGTGACCCTTTGAGATTGGTTTCGTTTCACTCAGCAAATGCCGTTTGGAGCCATTCACGTGTGTATCAGTGGTTTATTCCTTTTTATTGCTGGGTGGTACTTCATGGTGTGGATGCGCCACAGCTCAACCATTTGTCCATTGAAGGACATTTGGGTGGTTTCTAGTTTTTGCTATTACAAATAAAGTTGCTGTGAACATTTGTGTACAGGTTTGCGTGCAGACCTAAGTCTCCATTTCTCTGGCGTAAATGTGCATAAGTGTGATCGCTGGGTCAAAAAGTTCTTAAATGGACCATCGTAGGCTTTTTTGAAAATACGCACTAAGGCAGTCATCACTCGTAGATATATAAAGGTGATTATTTCTTAATGCCAACCATTATAAACAACATAGTTGCCGTTTGTTTTAAAATATCTTTGTGTATAATTGGCAACATGAGTCCAAAGTATAGAATCCCATCTTATGTGTACTGTAATATAACATGTGTAGTCAATAAATATTATTTCATTTTGTTAGCGAATCCTCTTCCATATTTTATTGACATTTTTCTTGTGGGAAATATTACTGTTCTCAGATACTAAATTTGAATGGGGGAAATATTTCAAGTAATGGTTTTCTTTTTATCAGTTCTTTGCAACGTGGCAGAGATTCTAACAATCACTGGGCAAACACTTTTTTAAAAAAAATACCAAGGCCTGGTGCCATTTCCTGAGATTCTGATTGAATTGGCCCAGGCAATAGGTACTTGTTCTAAAAGATATCTAGGTGATAGCTTTTTGGGGGCTATTACAAAATAGTTCCAGCAGACCCTTTGTGTGTGTGTGTGTGTGTGTGTGTGCGCGCGCGCGCGTGCGTGCCTGGGTGGGCATAAAGAATATTTTAAATAATTATAAAGATTAGCACAAAGAATCAGGAAGTTCACTGATTGACTAATGTCTAACAACATTTCAGCTAATTTGCAGAGCAGTGTTAGCTTTTGTTTTCTAACATATTTGGGGTCCTAAGATGTTTTGTAAAATCATTGTTTCCCAGGATAATAATAAATAATCATTAGGGTGAGGCTACAAATATTCTTTTGACATGTGAGGGGCTCCTAACAAAGATAGCCATAAATTTAAGTAACTTTAAATCGTGTTTCAAAAGTCAACATAAGGACAATATAAATTATGGATGGTGGACAGACATTGGCTGATTCATAGGTTTTGGCTTTCCCAAATGTATCTAGCCTTAAAATAACTGATAAAGTAAGTGCCCTTTGTAAGAACTTGGAACAAGAGGAGGAGAAGGGTGAAATGTATTAATAAAAAGCAATGGTTGTTAACTCCAGCTGCACGTTTGAGTCACTGTGCTAGATAGCTTTTAACCAAGTACCTGTGCCTGGGCCTGTTCAGTAAGAATCTCAGGAAGTGGCACCCAGGCCTTGGTATTTTTTAAAAAATGCTTTCAAGGGTGATTCTTTTGTTCAGCCAAGATTGAAAACCACTCAATTAACAGGAATGAATAGCTTCTCTGCTCGTATTTTATCACCCTACAATTTGATAGTTTTGTGCTGCATGCGTTTTACCCCTTACGTATTTGGACCCACGTTGGTTCCACATGGCTCTTATTTATGGTTCTGTTGAGATGCATATTTTCCTGAGGGGGGAGAATCACATGTGAATGATGAACATATTGAAATTATGAAACACAGCTTTAATATGTACAACAGAAGAGTGTCTGGGTAGTGGAATCAAATACCCAGAATAGAAATTCAGAATTTTGAAAAGTCAAAGAGGAAATTGGGCTTCATTTAGGCCATACTATGGGTGAGAAACTTTTTGGGAAATTAAGCATTTATAAAAGCTACATGGAGTATGGGAGTGAGAGATCTGAGTATTGAGAGATCCTGTTGTCAGCTGCATTGAGTTTTTCTCTTTTTCTAACTTAATTTTTTACGTTGTAAAAAAAATATTTAACTTGTAACAAATGGAAGTATGCAAGAATGAACAAAAAACAAGAATTAATCCCCTACTCATGTACATAGCCTGAAGTGAATTCTCCCACACCTTTTTCTATACTCATGAAAGTATGTATAATGACGTAAGAGTTGTGAGTTTTTTGTTTTTTAAATAGGGTCATACTCTACACATTATTCTGAAGCCTGCTTTTCCTCCTTAATATATCACGGATATTCCTCCATGTCAATAGATACAGATTTAACTCTTGTTCTGAAATAATGAATAAAATTTAAAGGCCAGGATGAATCAAATATGAATAGCCATTGTGATACGGCTTTATGTAACATGATTTATTCAACCATTTCCCTATGAATGGACATTTCAGGATGTTTCCTTTTTTAAAAAAAGTTTTACAGCTACAAACAATGGTACAATGTATCTTTGTACGTAGAACCTTAGGTACTTGTGCTTTTGTTTCTGAAGTATTTTTATAATCCATAGTTTGGTTTTGGTCAGATTTCTCAGGTTCTGGTTATCTTTTCTATTAGTGAGAATTAATGAGTTAACATCAACCGATTTACAGTTAATTAACTCCTAAGTTGGGTGTTAGAAGAATCAATTACTTCAAAAATATTTGGATACTAATGAATCCTGGGGAGCAGAACATTTTTCACAGGCCTTAGAATCCCTAGGGTAAGGGCCCCTTAACAGGAGGACCATGTGATACTGATTACAAAGTCATGTACAAATGCATATTTTATGGCTTTCATCAGATTTTCAAAGGAGCTATTGCCCCAGAAAAGGTAAAAATTATATACATCAGAAACTATTACTAAGTCTAGAGAACTTATAAAGTACTTGGAGTTCCCATCAATAGCACATTTTTAATCAGTGTCCTCTTTCTATAAAGACCTGGATTGAAATAAATGTTTCTAATTTCCAGATGACATAAAACTAGGAGAGATGACTAATACTATAGATAGCAAACTCTAGATTCAAAATAATCTGAACAGGTTGTAATAATGTTCTAAAATCAGCAAGATGAGATATCTTAAGGATAAATCATCTGCAGGAGTTGAGAAATGCTTGGGGTGGTGGACAATCTCAAATGCGAGAGATGAAAAATAGCTCAGGTTTATTCGGGCACAGGCCTCTGTGAGCCATCTCTGTGATGTGGCTGCTAAAAACAGGGAGCCATCTCGGGTTACATCAGCGCGTGCCTAGATTACGTGGGGCTGTTTCCCTGGTTCGTGGGCTAGTTAAATCGCCTTTGATGAACTGTGCTTAAGTCTCTGAACCACTTTTTAGGTAGGAAATTGGCAAAGGAGGGAGACAAGAATAGTGATGGATTGAGAAATGAAGTCACATGAGGAACTGCTGCTAAACGAGTTTGGTTGTGGGATCTAAAGGACGGGGTATGGTCCACAATACAGTCGTGTAATCTGCAATGGGAGCAGCCCTAGCGAATCAGGGAATAGGAAGCAGAGGGTGATGTGCGGAACTTAACGCGCTGTGGGCACGTAAGTTAAAGGTTTGAAGGTGTGAAGGAATGAGCAGAAATTATAAGGCGACGGATTTTGTCTCGGCCTAAGACAGAACCTTGTGGTGATGAGAACTCTCCGGCAATGTGACGGGCGGCCTTGGAAAGTAGACTCCCAGTCGGGGGAGCCGTTCAAGCCCAGCGCTGGGTGACTGGGTGACAGGGTTGGCGCCATCGACAGAATTCCTGCTTAGAGTGAAAGGTTGTACAAGAGGACTTCAAAACTCTTAATTGAAATTTTATATTTCTTCTCCTAGGTACCCTAATTCTAAACCAGGAGAAAATTCTAGGATAATATTGTAGTTTCTTTAAAAGTACATTTCTAAAAGGAATGCTTGTGACTGAAAGGCCATATGGTTGTCAGTACAGGTGTTTCACAGGTGCTGAAAAATTGAAATGTAACAGGTTTTTAGCCGAAACTGCAGTGCGTAAGTTACTCTGCTGTTCAACCTGAAGTAACTAGCATACACTTGCGTATAGTGTGGTTTTAAGGTTTCATTTTTGTTGATTTAGAGAGGAAAAAAACCAGTCTTTTCAAGCTACAAAAATGAGTGAAAAAGGAAATTTCACCACTTCCTGTGCTCGTTTTGGTTTCGGGAAACAGGGGTACACTGTCCCCATGAGACCAGTTCCGGACTCTGACTCGGCGATAGTAGCACCGGGCGGAGTTTGTATTGCGCTTCGTCATCGACAGAGCTCGCGCCTGGGTTTGCACACTGGCCTGTGCACACGTATCTCCAAGATTTGTTTGAGTTGGTTGAGAGCAAGATATCCCTTATTATCCCTCAAATAATTGAAGCAATATAAAAATCCTTTAGGCTGTGGAAACGGATGTATGTTGTAAAAATTTTTTATATAAAACTTTTTTAAAACCCCTGTATCTCACATTAGTAGTCTTAGAACAGCTGGGGGCTGCTGCCGCTTTAGATCCCTGGTCTCCACTCCTGTTCGTAGTGCTAGAGGGGTGTAGGTTAGAAGTTCAGGAGATAGGCTTGTGGGTTCAAATGTGGCCCCGCAATTTGGTGGCTATGGGACGCTGATCTCCTCAGTCTGTTTTCTCACTCGGAAAGGAGGGAAGATGCGAGCACGCGCGGGCGCAGTGGCTGCAGCGGGAGAGAACTTAATCGGTTTCCGGTGCACGGCCTGCTCTCACCTTTTCGGATTTAACAGATGCTGTCATCTGCAAGCCTTGTGCTGTCTTGAGCACGGCATGTCTAAACCTAAATCTTTTATATCCCCCGCCCCGTACCAACCCTACTCCTGCCGTGCCCTCCTGTCACCTCTGGTTGACTGGCGGGCACCGTTCGGAGAGCTGGCGCGCGGAGAGGTTAATTCCACAGCTGTCTGGGATTAAATTCCTGCCCCACCGCTCATCTCCATATGACCTTGGACACGCTAATTGACATCTCGGAAGCCCTGTTTCTTCAACCGTGAACTAGGTAGGGCAGCAGTCTGTCCTACAGAATCGGGAAAAGTCAGTGAGATCAATGCACGTTGAGTGCTCAGCGTGGCACCTGACCCTCGAGTAAGTGCACAGCGCGTGTTTACTATTTATGGCTCTCAAGCTGGAAGTCACCCCTACT